TTAACAGGAGTTAACAGGAAGGCGAAGAGACCTGATGAGCCTGGCCTCCAGTTCTCCAGCAGAGAACCAGCAAGCCCGGGGAGACGGCCCTGCAGGTAGATATATGCCCTGGAGTGCCCTGGGCCGGGGTTGGTGTCAGTGCCAGTCAAGCCTGGAAGCAGAGGGTGCGACGGGGAGCACTCAGGGTGGCAGGAGAGGGGCCTCGGCCGGAGAGGCAGGTGGGCTCAGCGCCCTGCATGCAGGTGAGGGCTTGTGCGAGTCACGGGACCTTCTCTTGGCATCCACCACTTCTCGGAGACGGACTTATTTGCCATGACGAACACTGGAGGCCCCAGAGGGAAAAAACTGCCATTCAAAAGAAGAAGAAATGAACAAAGTCACCCTGTTTCTATCAGCCTGCGATTTAGTCTAAAGCTTATCCGGTGGTAGAAGAGGAAGACAGGAAACAGAAACCAGGCCCCCGGGAAGGATCCAGGCTGCAGCGTCCCCTGAGCGCGGTGGGAGGTGCGGGTTTAAGTGTGGAGGAGCTACTCCCCACGTGATCGTCCATGTCAAACTCACAGTGAAAGGACCCTGAGGCCCAGCCCACCTGCTCTTCAGGGAGGGAATGTGGTTGTACCCTGTCCTTCTGCTTCCCTTTCATGGGAGCAAGGCGCAAGGCCTGGCCTGGCCCAGCCCATGGAGGACCTGGCGACGGGAGCCCGCCCACGCTTCATCTGTCCCCTGCAGCATGTGGGAGCTGCTGGTCTGTGCACCAGAAGCAGGACAGCTGGCAATTCCAGGCTTTACCAGTTGCCATCAGGCAAAGGACCTCCCCAGGGAGAATCTGCATGGCTGTCCCATCAGCCCCGATGCTGTTAGAGGAATGGGGGCAAGCCTTGGATCCAATACTTAGTCCTCTCTCCATAGTCACTGCTTTATTCCTGCTAGCGATGTGAGTTCAAAATTAAGTGCTAGAAAACACTCCAGCTCTTGGTTTGAGTTTGATTCTAATTTATAATACTAAGTTCAGAGAATGATGCCTTGTTGCACCAGAATATATAGGAAAATTATTTTGGTTCAAAACAATTCACACTAAGGCAGCAGGGCCACGCTCCTGCCCTTGCAGTGCTGCTCAGAGTGGAGATTCTGATAGCAAGACCAGACTGTGAGGGCCATGGGCCACGTCAGAGAAAGGACGTGTCCTGAAGCTCTGTCAGGCCCGGGACGATCTCTGAGTTCTGGGAGGGCTTCCCTTTCTGACCCCATGGTCCCGGGCCTGTGAATGTCAGAGGAGACAAAACCTCAAGGAGACAGCTGTGGGATGTGGATGAGAGTGTGGGCTGGGCGCCATCTCACCCCCCATCCACCTGGGACTGCTCAAAACCCTCTCTGGTCATTCAACCCCCAAGGTCACCCTTTCCAACCCCAACAAAGGTAACACGCAAACAGGCCCTGGGAGCAGTTTTATTGCAGGCAGGCGGACAGACCAGCGCTTCTCTCCTGAGATCGTGGAGAAAGTGCCACAAGGCAGAATCTGGTTCTACACAGCCACAACATCCGGGAGCTTGGTGCCAGCTGGCCCGGGTGCTGTGGAGGTCACCTCCACCCGCGTCCCCCAGAGGGAGAAGGCTGACCTTGGCCCTGCACGTAGCCCCTGAGGCTCCAATGCTGGCCTCTGTGGCAGGTGCTCCTGGCAGAGCCTCACCCTGGGGACACCATGAGTTATTTGCAAAGCGATACCTTTTTAGAGACGGTGCAGGAATGATGAGAAGTATCACCAGGCTAGCCTGCCCTCAGAACGAACACTTCCAGCTCTGCGCACATTTCCTAACTGCTCACCTGCAATATCCGCACCATTCTCACTACACAAACCACGGCAGAAAGGAACCAAAGAAAACCTGGAGACAGCAGCCATGGTTTATTCAAGCGTGTGAGGCCCATCTCCAGATCACACGAGTGGCATGTGAGCCAGAGAGCCGGGACCCTCAGCCCAGTCCAGGGACGTCTGGACCCATCCCTGCCCCAGACTGCATGGCAAGTTTGGCCTGGGACCCCGGTTGTAGCTGGGCAGTGGACAACGCACCTCTGCCAGCCTTAACCTGTGCACTGACAGGTCACACTGAGGGGGCACACTTCCCCAGATGCCACTCCACCTCTCTCTAAAGAGAAAAGCCACCCAGAGAAAAGAATCATGCTCTTCAGGCATCTGGGGAAAGACCACACAAATACAGGGCTCAACGATTTAAGGGTCCACTGTGATAGGAAGGAAGCATCGGAGAAAACGTGAGTGAGTCCGTGGGCCTTCATCGTGATCCCTGTCCACTGATGGACATCAGCAGGTCCGGGCTGTCACTGGGGGCCCCCCGGCTCCTGGGACCCACTTGGCCTTGCAATCCTCTCTGCTGTGTGGGGCAGGAAGAAGGGACCCCGGTTAGTCTCCCCAAAGCCTTTCTAGCTTAAGTAACTTCAAGGAGGATTTTGTTCATGCTGGCCCCCACCTAAAAGAGGAGGCTGGTTTTGGAGGCCACTGATCCTGGAAGGGGTGGAGGAGCTGAGAGCCTCTGGGTTCAGAATCCATCATTCTGACAGGCAGTCACACGTGGGAAAATGGCTATTTTTTTCTTTAAGACAGAGTCTTGCTCTGTCACCCAGGCTGGAGTGCAGCGGCACCATCTTGACTCACTGCAACTTCCGCCTCCCGGTTCAAGTGATTCTCGTGGTGCCTTAGCCTCCCTACTAGCTCTGGGGACCACAGGTGCACGCCACCATGACTGGCTAATCTTTGTATTTTTAGTACAGACGGGGTTTTGCCATGATGGCTGGGTTGGTTTCAAACTCCTGGGCTCAAGTGATCCACCCGCCTCAGCCACCCAAAGTGCTGGGATTATAGGCGTGTCACTACACCCAGCTGAGAAATGGCTTTTTTTTGAAGGTACAAACTAGCTATTTTTAAAAGACCAAAATGTTATGTTTTTCTTAAAAAAAACAAAAACTTGCTGTCAACTTAATAGTCTTTAGGGCTTAAAAATCCACTCTGCGATAGCCTGGGCAACACGGCAAGACCCCAGACCTACAGAAACAGGCAGGGGGTCAGTGAGCTGTGTCAGTGCTACTGCACTCCAGCCTGGGCAGCAGAGGGAGACCCTGTCTCAAAAAGCAAATGCAAAAAACCCTGTTCAGTGCTAAGAACAAAACTCTGTGCTACACTATGGCAGGAGGCCCAAGGCCCCTTTTGAGAGCTATGGATCTCCCAGGAGGCCCCTTTTGAGAGCTATGGATCTGAGCGTTGCTTCTGCTTTGGCAGCCCAGACTCAAGACAGAAAGTGCACAGCTCAGCACTGGAGGCGCTGCTGCCCAGCACCCTGGGAAGCTTCTGGGAGTTCCCCACCCCATGAAAGTGCTAGAAGTAGAGCAGAGGGCTCAGCCGGCTGCCAGCATGGAGAGGCAGCCCAGCAGGACCTGGATCTCATGACATAGCAGGGAAGTGGCAATTAAGTGGGAGCACAAGGGCCTGAAGAAGGGCTGTAGCTTGCCCTCGCAGCCCGGTGGGGAGGTGCCTAGGCCTGTGGGTGCCAGTATGCTGCTCATATCAGTTATGTCGTCTGTCAATGTCAAGAGTGAGGGACAATATTTCAGAGCAAGGCGACGTATATCATGAGTTCTTCCCATCCCAAATGGAACATCCCCCACTGCCCTATGCAGGAAGCTCTGCACCACTGGGCCTGGTGTCTGCAGCAGGACAACTTCAGCACAAAACCTCAAGCAAACACCATTCAAGATGAGGAGTAGGAAGACAATGAACTCTAGCCAGGAAAAGAGCTCCCACAGAAATCAGCCTACCTGGGGAAGAGGGGAGGGAGGGCATTAGGACAGATACCTAATGCATGCAGGGCCTAAACCCTAGATGACGCGTTGATGGGTGCAGCAATTCATCACGGCACATGTACACCTCTGTAACAAACCTGCACGTTCAGCACATGTATCCCAGGACTTACACGAAAATAAAAATCAAAAGCTGCAGGCCGGGCATGGTGGCTCAAGCCTGTAATCCCAGCACTTTGGGAGGCCGAGGCGGGTGGATCACGAGGTCAAGAGATCGAGACCATCCTGGTCAACATGGTGAAACCCTGTCTCTACTAAAAATACAAAACATTAGCTGGGCATGGTGGTGCGTGCCTGTAATCCCAGCTACTCAGGAGGCTGAGGCAGGAGAATTGCCTGAACCCAGGAGGCGGAGGTTGCGGTGAGCCGAGATCGTGCCATTGCACTCCAGCCTGGGTAACATGAGTGAAACTCCGTCTCAAAAAAAAAAAAAAAAAAAAAAATCAAAAACTGCAAGCAGCCTTCCAGCCACTACCTTCTTCCCTCTCCCAGCTGCTGGCCGGGTGGCTGGACAGAATGTCACATGTCCAGCATCCAGCATAGTGAGTCCATGTAACGAAAGTCAGCTCGCAGCCCAGGACGACTTCAGAATGTCAACATCCTCAAACAGAAGCCTTTACGAGGCTCGGCCGAAAAGTCAATCGACAGTGCTTCTCCCCAGTTGGATTCAGCACAGAGAAGGACCACATAAAACGGGATCTGAGACTCAGAACATCTCATCCAGTACACTGCCAGCGATGAGAAACAGCCAGCAGTAAGAGGGAGCAATTGCTGTGGCTGTTTATTCTATAAACATTAACAAGACCCTTAATTTTACAGCATTTTTAAGCTTTTCTTGTTTTGGTTCACTGGGATTTTTAAAGCTTAGATGTGAAAATGACTACTGAAAATTATCTACATTTACAGTTCATTCACGCACGTTTATTTAATGTCAGCATACAGAGGACAGCCCCGCAGTACTTCAGAGTATCAAGTATGTAGTAAATGTATTAAGTCTCGTTAGCTGTGACAGTGACAAAGGAACAGCTAAAAAAACAAAGCAGTGAAACAGAAACATGATTTTCTTAAAATTATAAAATAACAATACTGATATTAAAGCTTCATTAATTATTGCAACAGTTAAGAATTTACCAATATTTCATGTTAGGAAGGCTCTTTATGAAATTTATTCAAGTTGTCAAGAAATTAGATGAAAATATAAAAAAGGAAATACATGTGAATTTTACTTTTGATTTTCACTCAAAATATCTATACAATTTTATACAGTGTCACCTAACATAACAATCTTTAATAAACTCAAGTATACAGAAATGATAAGAATGTAGGAAATTTTTCTTTTACACTTTCAAATGAAGGGACAGCAATTTATGACACAAAGTTCGTGTAACAGATGCAGAAATGGATTAAAAAATCAACATCGTGGGATAGCTTCCCTCTACTGGAGGGGCATGTTCTTACAGTTTGTGACTGGGATCTGAGTTTCAATGGTAACAGTTAAATACGAGTGCTTCTCAATACAAAGCCACACACTTCACTTTGGCCACACAAATGTCTCCTCCCTTTGAGATATGACTTGGGGTCACTGAGATACGCACCTTAACATAAACCAACATATGATAGTCCCAATCGGCCGGTGGCAAAGAGCGTGCTCCAGACAAAGGAGGGCCCTGCAGGCTGCTGTCAGGGCAGTAGACTATCAACCCTCACCTCTGTCACCCAGACCAAAGTGGAGGCGGCGTCTCCAGGTCACTCCACCCCTACCCATGCACGCAGAGGTTCTCACTGCTGAGGAGTGAAACCTCAGCCACGGGCACACGTCGACCGCAATGTGCATCCGTGCAGTCAGAGGCCGACCCTGCCCCCGTCCACTGGCACTGGAGGCAGGGCAGGGCCGACGGACCCCCAGCCATGCCCTCACCCACAGAGCTGGATGCCAGATGCTGCGTTCCACGAATCTTTCCCCAGAAAATCCACAGGTGAACCGCTTCTAGTTCTTCCTTGGGTAGTCAGACCACACATGATGTGGTGCCTGGGTTTCCGTGGGTCCCTTCTCCAGGCGCCCCCAACCCCTAGGGCTTTCTCCTCCTCCTCACACTTTGAGTTCGCTCAACAAAGAAAAAAAAAGTCTCCCTCCCAGGAAAGAGGTCATGAGGACCTGGAACTCAGGCACAGCCATGTGATAAGGCAGTTCCACCAGCTTCAGCACTAATTTCACACTTGACAATTTCTTTAATATTTAAAATGAACCCCAGGAAGTGGAGGAACTGGGGAGAAACGCTGGCCGGCCACCTGCCAGCTGGGCCCTGGGGGTGAAGCCAGCGGGGGGAGAAGCGCGCCGGCCCCACCCGGATGGTGTTCGTGTCCAGAAAACCTCGTCCTGTCACAGCATTTCTTCCTCAGAATCCCTGCATGCCTCTGAGATAAGAATCATTGTGCTATCTCCTTTCTGATTTTCCATGCCTCCATTTTTAAGGCATTTATCCTCAGTCCCAAGCTAAGGGTTCACAGGAGAACACTTCCAAACTGCTAGAAGGTTCAATCAGCACAAAAGAGAAATTAGATGATTTAATTTGCCATGATTTAAGCAAATTCCAACCCCAAGGCTACTGGCTATTTCTCCAGTGTCTAATCCTGCACATGCATTTGCTTTCAAAAGAAGGCAAGGTTTTCCAAAGGTTCCCTTCTCCAGGCCTGGTGGGGGGGTGGGTTTAATCCCCTTCTCCTGAATAAGATAAAAGCCTGAGGGAAAGGCTGGGGCCCCGGCAGGTAGTGTTTGGAAGCCCACGCACTGCAGTCACCACACACCCCTGGCTTCTGGAATTCTGGCGGAAGAGGCCAGCCTGGGTAGGACAAGGAGAGGGTCCCCTGGCCTGCCACCTTCGGAAGGTGCCTGACACCACCCAGGGCCGAGCTTGCCCCCTTGCCAGGTAGGAGCGGGACTCTGCGGCCACTCAGCGTGCACCTGATCTTTGTCTGTGCTTTTCACCTCTGCGGTTTGGTACACATTAGAAAAGTGATGCTGACTGAGCAGTTAAAAGCCTCTTCTGGCCAAATGCTGTGCTTCGTTCCAGAGATTACAAACGCCGTTCCTGCTCACAAGAACGTTTAAGCTGAAAAACTGACAAATGTGATTCCCCAAGTTTCTCTTACTGTCTACCATGGGAAGCAACACACATTGTAGTGGCACACCTGGTGTCAGGAAGCACCCCTCCCCGGCCCCGCCCCGGGTCTGCCGGAGCCATTACTCGGAAGCATGGCCCAGGGAGGGCGCTCCCCCGCCCCTCTCTCCAGTGCCTCGTCTCCTCAAGCTGTCAGGCACCTTTAGCTCTGGTCTTGGAGAACGCCTTGCATGCTGTCCTGCCTGCAGAAGTGCTCTGCCGGCTGTCAAAGAAAGGAGTAGCAGTCAGAGCGGCAGAGTGAACGCAGAGTGGTGTTACCCTGCAGGGCCTGGGCCAGACTGGGATGAGCCAGGAGTCGAGCCATGCAATCAAAGGCAACCCCCCCCAGGCGGGCACAGCACTCCCCACTGGACCCTGAACCCAGCAAGAGGAGTCTTGGGGAGGGCATGGAGACACAATGAGGGGGCCCCACCAGACAAGGTACCAGAAAGACATTAAGGACAGTACTCCTTGGCAAAAATTGGCAGAAAAAGATGGTGATTGAGCCCCAAATCCAAAGCTGACAATATCATGGTGTTTAACACTTGAGGTGTGGGGAGAAAGACACAGGCAGGCCTCCGTACTGCACAGCACGTTTCAGAGTTGTTTTTAAAGGAAACGATCTCCTCTTGCCTCTCCCGCTCCCGGTTCCTTTCAGCTGACTCCTAAGTCACCTGGCAGCAAGCCCCTGCACTCCCTCTTCCATCCCGCCACTGCAACTGAGAGCTGGAGAGTGGGGAGAGATCAGAGCGCACCCAGTCGGCCATGCTGGTACTCGGGCACACGCCCTTGACTCCCTGTCACGGGCAACATTTCAGAACTACAAGGTCACCAGAAGTGTCACCATAAATGCTACTTACCTGGGACCAGCCCCTCTCTATGTAGGCCGAATACTGAGTCCTGAATTTTGAAACTGCATACTCAATGCCTCAGAAGCATTTGAAACTGAACATTTACAACTATGTAGGTGCATAAAATCGCACACCGAGTGTTCATTACTCGTCTCTCCACATGACCCAATGTGACCTCCAAAGCTGAAACTGTCCACAAGGATGGCTGTCATGGCTACCTTAGATCAGTTCACCTTTAGGAACAGAGGCCCGTATGGCACAGTTGGAGAGGACACGGACATTCCCATGAAGCAGTGCTCAGGGATGCTAAAGGCACAGACAGGTGAAACGCCCCTGAAGGTTGCTGTGGTCCCCGTGGCCACGTGCTGCCCTGCCACCACACTGAAGAGAGAGCACTGGGTTAGGACCCACGCTGGGCACAGGGTGGGCGGCTCCACCGTGACATGTTTGGAGATGGGAAGCAGGCCTGGGGACCTGGCCCGGCTTTCCTGGGAGGTCCTTTAAGAGCGCAGGCAGCTGCGGCTCCACCTACCAGGGTCTTTACACTGCAGAGAAAGAAAAGTCAGCCAGCTCTTCACCCTGCTGAATCATGTTCACTAAGCAAACCAGTATCAGTGATCGTTATCTCTATATTTAATTACAAAGGTGTGCAAAACAGAAAAACCTAAATGCCCAAAATGAGTTAACAAGTAAGATAACCACCATCTTGACATGCCATATGCAGCTCAAGGGGCCATCTCACCCAATGTGAAAGCTAGAATTTGAAAAGCAGCTCCTTGTGCAGCAACAGAGAGAGTGAGGATGAAGGACTGCGGTCACCGGGGGAACAGCACAGCCTCCCACTGCTGAGGAGGCCACTGGCCACCAGGGCCCAGGCTGAGGCTCCAGGGTGGGAGCCACTGAGGATGAGGTCCAAGGGCATGGCCAGCGCCAGCATCCCAAGAGTAATCCCTGAGCCACAGCCGCCATCCAAGAACAAGGAAAGGGGAAACCTGCACTTCTGCTTCCTCTGGGGGGGGTTAAGCCCAAACAAGGGCCATGTCAAGGAGAAGTCAGAAGTCTTGGGGAGTCTCCGGCTTTGGCTTTACGAAGAAAAGCGGAGTCGCACGTGCCTTTCTGACCACCCCCCCTGCCTCCCCCCAGGAAAAACCCAAAAAACTCCTTTTCCCTTGTTGGGAAAACACATAAGCAAAGCGCATCTGACCTAAAAGGTCTTCGCTTATGCGGCAAGAGGCACTTCTGCAATGCTGTTGGTGTCCTCAGCCCGCAGTTTCCATGAACTGTCCAGGCTCTGAGTAAGGTGGGTATTTTAGTGCACAGAATCTCAATCAAAGTGCTACAAACTGCTTCTTTGAAAAAAGATGTTTATTAAACAACTTTAATTGTCATAAAATGACTAAAATGGGTTTTAAAAATTAAGGCTCTTCTCTTTCTGTGGATTGCCAGAACAATGTAAAAATAATATCAATCAACCCTGCTAAACGTTTTGTTCCTAAGGTTAAATTTCATAGATTCCTAAACATTTTGTGATTAAGATAAAAAATTGGACTATAAATGACAATTCATGGCCATCTGTGCTGAACACACACTGATCAGGTGTACAATATTCTAATTGAGTAGTTAAGCAAAAATATCCCAGTTAAAGCATGAATTGTAATCGTAGCATTTTAAAGTCATTGTTTCCCACACTGTCATGATTTCCCTAAAACTGAAATAGTCTAATACAGGAACGCTGACCTCGGGACTCTATATGCTCCCAGGATGACTGACTTGGCTGGCAATTACTTTGATTATATTTTTTTAAATGCTCTAAGGTAAATTATCAAATGATTCAGAATTACATGGCATGCAGTATCCAAAATTATGGCTCTGATGCATTTAGATTTACATTAAGAATAAGAAGTGTCATTCACATTCATTGTACACCCCGCCCCTCCCACAAAAAAAAAGTCACTACCTATTCAAGTTCTAGATCTGGTGCAGCATTAAGGATTAAAACTTACCACTTTACCAGGCCTTCCCCATGTGCAAATAAATCCCTCCTGACAAGCAGTGACTATACAGTCTTCGAGAAAAATTAATACAGTCAGTCTCTCATGTGCTATCTTTTTACATATCAGCGGCTCTAACAAGGGAACGTCTTCCATTCGGGGACACAGGGGCGTTCCCAAAGTTTTAGCAGGGTCCGTTTTGGTTTTGGTAACTAGATTCAGTTTGTCACTGCTCTTGCTAGAAATGTGTCCCATGCTATGATTTCGCTTGTGATCTTTCTCGTGGTGCCTCTCCTTCCGGTCATGTAGTGAAAGTGTTGCAAATTTGCTGACCCCAGAAGCAATGGCCCCGTCCATGACACTGCTTTTGCTGCCAGCATTTGAGACTGCTGAATGTGGAAGGCTGTTGGACCGTGGCAGAGGAGGGGGCACAGAGTTCCCAGGCGTTGTAACACTGTTCCCATTGCTTCCAGCAGGAGGACTCGTGGCATTCATGACATTTGTGTGCGTCCTTGCTCTTGAGAGGGGTTGGTGAGGGAAAAGGATATCTTCTGTAAGGTCCCATAAACACAGCTGTGTGTCCTGGCCCACGGAACCAAATCGATATGTGACACTTACAGGGCGGCTGTCTGTAGAGTTCCGTTTGGAGAGCCTGGACTGTGTACTATTTGCTCGATCTCTGCCAAAATGAAGAAGGTCTTGGAAGTCCTCATCGCTGCCACTAAACTCCATAGGGTCACTTTCTTCTACACTAGTGGTATAGGGGTCAAACGCTACGACACTGACCCAGGACTTGTGCCCATGGCCTCTGGCTATTACTCGGCAGTCTACAAAGGACCAGACTGTCACCAAGTCATCCTCTCCACCTGTCACAATGTACTTGCCATCCGGGCTCCAGCACACACACAGCAAGCCCCCAAAGTAGCTTTTCATCGTACCGTGCAGCTCCACTGAGTCAAAGCTGAATACCCGCAGAAACCCGTCCTGGCTCACGCACGCTAAGAACTTGCCATCTGGGGAGAAAGCAAACTCGTTGAGGGCCCCCTCGCCCACCGTCCACTTAAGGAGAGGGTTCCTCGTGGATTTGCTCTTGCAAGTGTGCACGGCAAAGCTCTCTCCCTGCTTCAGAAGCTGGTAGTGGGGGGCTGTGGTGCCACAAGTGTGCTCCACGTTATATAAGTACATGTTCCCACTTGAGTGGGCTACTAGGAAAAGGCTTTCCGAACCGGGAACCCATTTGACACAGGTAACTCGTGACTTGTCTATTAGTCTCTGTGAAGACAAAGGAGAACAAGTTAGCACAACGGAGAAGTCTCAAAGGTCTACTTTTCCAGCAAGCAAACTTGTGTATTTCCTGGTGGGAAGGGGCAAGTCCATCCACGTTTTATCCTGCAGTCAGCCAGGACAGCAAGGAGCATTCTGACCCCTTGTAGAATTACTTTCTAAAATCAGTGTTAGGCTACTGGCTTTCATTGAGGGAGTCAGGCAGCGAACAAATATTTGCAGAGGGGCCACAAAGTGCCAGATGCTATGCCAGGCACAGGATTCTCCACGGAGGGAACAGCCCTGCTGGGATTCTTTCTTTAATGGTAGGAGCGTCTGAATCTGGGGGTCACTGCATCTACATGTGGCATCCCCTCTATGAGGACCCACAGGTAAAGTCTCTGAGTCTTCACAGCCAGGAGAGCTCTGCCTCACCTCAAGGGTTTCTCTGCATTTATTGTCACTGTAAGTTATGGGCTGGTTCGATCTGCCCCTCCGCTCTGACGGCTCAAAGGTGGGGAGTGAAATCTGCAGCCCACGTGACTCCAAAGTACACCGCTGGGCGCTACCTCAGCCCTGGGTTCCCCAAGGCTTCCTCACTCACATGCACTGCCCCATAGACATCTTCATCAGCATTTCCTCAAAACCCTCTCTGGTGGTGGTTAGAGAAATATGTTGATGATTCATTCAGGAGTGTGTGTCTCATCATCACTCTACTCCATGCTAACTCTGGACCCATAACTGACATGTTTCTTTAACAGGCATATGTCAGTAGTCTTGCCTTTAAAACCCAAAGAACGAAAGGCAAAAATACCGCCCCCCTCAACCAAAGGCACAAGTCTCCTTCCCTGGTTGCCAGCTGATCGTGCAGTGGGGATTGCCAGCACAACAGCTTCCACAAGGGCATACCCTTTCTAGACCATCTGAGCGCCAGATCACATCACCAAAATGCATCCAGAAGTTCCAAGACTCCCAAGTCTACCTAGAAACTTCTACTGCCAAATGCTCTCCACTGCACCGTTGCCCCAGGAACAGTGTCCCTTTAGGAGCCCAGCAGCCCCAGTAAGTTGAACAGCACCACTTCACCTAACAGGTGGGAATTCCCCAACTCAAGTCACAGAGGGGTACTGGGCACATTGGAGCAGATTCTGCCAAGAATCATGCCAGCTTCTGCCTGGGTGGCTTTGGGACCATGTGCTTGCTATGTGTGCTATATCTTTACAGACAATTATAGAAACAGGATGACTTGATTTTTAAAAGAACAGCTGGAAAAGAAATTAATGAGCCATGCAAGCTCACTGCATGAACATTAGATCCTGGAAGGGAGGTTGCTAACAAATGACCCCAAGCAGGAAGAGTGGAAGCTTGAACGCCGCACAGCATGCAGGCCCAGGGCCAGGGACCACGCGTCGGGCAAGGATTACTCAGCAGCAACATTTTACTACTGTAAATGACATTGCTGGCCCTCTTAAATTAACAGGCACGTGGCAAGCCAGCCTTGGGGACACAGCCAATATTTTCATCCCCCACCTCTTTACCTCCCTTGTCTGGTGACCTACCTATAAACAGCATCTGACCTGCACCAATGCCAGCAACCTAAAAACCTAGCGCTATTCTGCCAGGATTTCCATCAGACCTTCGTGCAATTTTTTCAGCAAGGGGTTAGAGAGACAATTTACATGGCCAGACAAGGGCTTTTCTTTTGTGGAGGAGGGAGGAGATAGGATGATGCTGATGGTGAACGGTGGGTTAAGAGGCTCCCCCTCCCCTGTCATAGCTCTGCCAAACCTTGCTGTCCCACTGGGCCCAGGCTGCCCCGGCACTCCTGATCCCACAAACACAACTGTACCTGATGGCCCAGGACCTAAGGGTGTCCACAGCTCACCCCATCACTGGCCTTGTCAAGCAGGCCTATACCAGCTAATTCAGGGCCGGGAAGTCAGACTGCTGTCCTGATTCTGGCACAGTGGCTCTCAGTTCCTGCACCTTACATTTCACCAGAATCAAATCAAATCCCAATTTTCCCAGGATCAGTTCATTGTTGTTACTCTATTTACCATGTGTGGAGAAATTTAAGGACATAAAAACTTCTAGCAGCACAGTTAGAAGTAAATTTTATTTTGGGCCTTAAAAAAAACACAACAAAAGGCCAGGCATGGTTGTTCACACCTGTAATCCCAGCACTTTGGGAGGCCAAGGTGGACGGATCACCTGAGGTCAGGAGTTCAAGACCACCCTGGCCAACATGGTGAAACCCCGTCTCTACTAAAAATACAAAAAATTAGCCAGGCATGGTGGCGGGCAACTGTAATCCCAGCTACTTGGGAGGCTGAGGCGGAAAACTGCTTGAACCTGGGAGGCCAACGTTGCAGTAACCTGAGATCGTGCCACTGTACTCCAGCCTGGGTGACAGAGTGAGACTCCATCTTAAACGCGCGCGCACACACACACACACACACACACACACCAAAAAACAGCATTAGAACTCAACAACTAATACTATCAAACAGTACTGCTTTGCAATAGTGAGGTATGAATATAGTTATATAGGACCATTAAAAATGTTACTGCAGGCTGGGCATGGTGGCTCATGCCTGTAATCCCAGCACTTTGGGAGGCCGAGATAGGTGGATCACCTGAGGTTGGGAACTCGAGACCAGCCTGACCAACATGGAGAAACTCTGTCTCTACTAAAAATACAAAATTAAGCCGGGCGTAGCAATGGCCTGTAGTTCCAGCTACTTGGGAGGCTGAGGCAGGAGAATCACTTGAACATCGGGGGCGGAGGTTGCAGTGAGCCGAGATCGTGCCATTGCACTCCAGCCTAGGCAGCAGGAGGAAAACTCCGTATCAAAAAAAAAAAGTCGGCCGGGCGTGGTGGCTCAAGCCTGTAATCCCAGCACTTTGGGAGGCCGAGGCGGGTGGATCATGAGGTCAAGAGATCGAGACCATCTTGGTCAACATGGTGAAACCCCGTCTCTACTAAAAATACAAAACATTAGCTGGGCATGGTGGTGCGTGCCTGTAATCCCAGCTACTCAGGAGGCTGAGGCGGGAGAATTGCCTGAACCCAGGAGGCGGAGGTTGCGGTGAGCTGAGATCACGCCATTGCACTCCAGCCTGGGTAACATGAGTGAAACTCCGTCTCAAAAAAAAAAAAAAAAAAAAAAGTTATTGCAATGACAAAACACATTAAAAATCTTTACTCCCATATTAAAAAGTTGCACTATGGCTGGGCACAATGGCTCATGCCTATAATCCTAGCACTTTGGGAGGCCAAGGAGGGTGGATCACTTGAGGTCGAGTTTGAGACTAGCCTGGCCAACGTGGTGAAACCCCATTTCTACTAAACATAAAAAAATCAGCTGGGCGTGGTAGCGTACACCTGTAATCCCAGCTGCTCCAGAGACTGAGGCAGGAGAATCACTTGAAGCCGGGAGGTGAAGGTAGCATGCAGCAAGCTGAGACCACGCCACTGCACTCTAGCCTAGGTGGCAAAGTGAGATTCCATCTCCAAAAAAAAAAGTTGCACTGAGACTATCCTAAGTAGACATGCGGATGTAACTTATGGATAATATCCTGCGCCCATCTACTTCAATCTCTCTCTGGGGACCTAATCAAACGTGACTGTAACACACTGGCAATGGGGGACTGAGCACACCAGTTTAAGCAACAGCAGACCCAAAAAAAAAAAAAAAAAAGACCTTGGATGCAACTGTATTGTGGTAAGGGTCTCTTACGTGCCTGACCCGTTGTTTCTCCCTATCAGACCGTGTGCTTAACAGCAGGGAAAACGTGTGCTTTGTTGGGGGTACCCTGTGTCTCAGCCGTTATCAGGGTGAGTGGCAGCCAGGCATCAATGTCTACGAGCAGCATCAACAGCAGCAGTGCTGGCCCTCACTTCTGATCGGAGTGTCTACTGTGGGTGATGGGCACTGGTAGAGGCTTACACCCATGCTCTCTAAGCCTCACAATAACCCTGCAAAGTAAGTTTTTTGTGTGAATAGGTAATATATTAATAATTCACATAAAAGTACACAGTAGAAAGCCTCGCTCACATTCTTCTCCTCCATTCCAGAGCCTCTGTCCTGAGTCACTGTTACTAGCTTCTCACGTCTCTCCAGAATGTCTTTGTCTTTGTTCATTGCAAGGCAGATACGAATACGTATTTATTCACTCTTCGTTTTCATACTAAAGGAGGCACACTATGCACTGTCTCACCTCTGCTTTCTCATTCAATATCTTTTTTTATTTTTTTTGAGACAGGGTCTCACTCTGTCACCCAGGCTGGAGTGCAGTGGTACAATCATAGTTTACTGCAGACTTGACCTCCCAAGCTGAAGCAATCCTCCCACTTCAGCCTCCGGAGTAGCTGGGGCTACAGGTGAGTGTCACCACACCTGACTCATTAAAAAAAAATTGTTTTTGTAAATAGGGGGTGTCACTATGTTGTCCAGGCTGGTCTCAAACTCCTGGCTGCAGGAGCAAAGCAATCCTCCTGCCTTGGCCTCCCAAAGTGCTAGGATTAAAGGTGTGAGCCACCATACCCAGCCTCCTGGTACATCTTGTACATCAGTCTGTATGGGCACAAAGACAGCATCCTCACTCTTTTCTAAAGCTGCAGAGTATTCAACTGTCTGGACAAACTGTGGTTTAGGAAGTGCCCCACTGATGGACACCTATGCAGCAATGAATGCCCTTGCACACATGCAGTTTTCACATGTGTGAGTAATGCACCTACAGGGTAAACTTCCAGTGGAGTAACTGAGCCAAATATTTTTACAGATATTACCAAACTGCCTCCATGGAAAATGGAAAATGCAATCATGCCTGTTTCCCTACAGGAAGGTAGGTATTGTTGTCATATTATCCATGAGAAAACAGAAGCTTAGAGAGGTCAAGAAACTTGCCCAAAGTCTCATTCATTCATTCAGTATTGAGTACATACCATATGTCAGACACTGATACAGCACAAATTAAAACAGGCATCGTTCCCTCATGAAATTTAG